TCGGAGTATGGAAGATTACATAAACTTTTGGGACAAATGAAAAATTACAAGACAAATCGATAATTTCTAAGTTCCACTGACATCCATGACTTATTGATTCCAGCTCCGAAACTTATAAGAATTTTCAATTGCCCCAGAATTTATGAAAACAACTGTAAAGATTTTGGTCATATGATTCGGATTGGGTATTGCTCGAACGACCATTTGCTAGGAAAATCACTATTTAAGAGTAAGTGCCAAACGGTGATGTTCCTAGCAGATGATCCATATGGTCTGTACCCGCATGGATCTGATAAATTATGGGTCCAGATTCGCTCCGTGGTTCTTTTGCGGAACACCAATGGAAATGTTCGTTGGAGAACGTGATCCACCGGATTAAAAAGACAGATTACCTCCTTCTTTCCATTCAGGAATTCTCACTCGAACATATGAAAGTTTTGTTTGCTCTGGTGAGTTATAGAAAACAACGGCAGATGCATTATTCTGCGAATCAATAAAATTCTTGGTCATTAGACAGCACATTTAATAATTGGAAAGTAGTTGGAAAACTTGTTAAAAGCAAAGAGAAAGATAATATTGCCATATATTTGAATTTTGATATGTTAGGAAGTCCGAATTATATACCATTTGTAAGTATTATTTTTATTTAGACTAATCTTTTAAGATTGTGTATTATTAATAATAAAATAAATTTTGTTACATTTTGAGACAGATTTTACGAGGTTCGGATGCACCATCAGACGCAAGAAAAGGGTCAATAAGAATTCAGCAAATGTTTTCAAATGAATTCAATAGATTAAACAAACCCTACGATGTTTCTAGCATGTTGGATGGTAGTGACTTTTTACCTTTCGTTCAAAATGGAATTCCATCAGGTATCCCTTTATTATTCCTGAGAGTTCAAACTCATTTGTTTTAGATGACATAGAATGTGATTATAAATTCGAATCTTTTTTGATAAAGGTGGTCTTTATACTGGATCAAGTGAAATAAAAAACAGTGAATCAAAACAAAAATTTGGTGGAGTTGCTAATGTCCCTTTAGATCCTTGTAACCATCAAGCATGTGACAATTTGGATAACGTTAACAAAGATGCTATTTTCGTGGTATGTTTTCTTTCATATTCAATATATAGGTTGAAAAGAGACAAAAAAATATTGGTGCATGACAATCTTAGTGTATTTAATACTGCCATTTAATATGTCATTATTAATAAGATGAAATATATTGCCAATAATTGTTTTTTTTCTCAACCTATCATGGCCTGCTCTTTTTATTTTTCATTCGCCTTATATGTATTTCATTTGATAATAGATGTCAAAGGTTGCTTTGGAAGTAATTTTTAAATTTGGAATTAAAAAAGATTTGAGAGATTATTTGAATGGAGAAAATATCTAATAATTTAATATAAGTAGTCAAAAGCTATTTCTTAATTGCGAGGGTAAGAAACGTTTTTAGAGAGGGTATTTTAGTTGATCTATGATATAATTTGCGTCATACGTAAAATATGTATATGCATGTATATGTATTTTATTTTTTTATTTTTATTTTTATTTTTTTTTACCTTGTACATTTGTATTCATGTAAATTTTGTTGTTCTATAGGAATCTTTAAATGATTTTTATGGTTTAGTATTATCTTTTTTTAAAAGCAAGAATAGAAAAAAAAGATGAAAATTATAGTAGAAGTTGGAATTGTGAACTTGCATGGTAGATTGAAATTACCTACTTTCCTTTTTTCTAAATATCTATAAATATATATTTTTCTTTTTAACATTTAAATATCTAATCATAATAACATCAAATAAATGACTTGTGAATATATTTAATAACGGTGTATTCTTATTCACTAGTTAAGTGCGGTTATTATTATTCATTTATCCAAAGATAACATTGGACTCGTATATTTTAACTGATTAATTTATGACCAACATTGAGAAAAATTACACGGTGTAAAAATACATCACTATACGATACTATACAACATTAAAAAAGCCCATTCCCCTAACACAGTCTAACATCAATACAATCTAACACTAAAAATCATATCTATATAATCTAATACCAACCGTTTATTATTTTTTATATTCCTTGCTTTCTGTTTAGTTCATCTATGTCTTCAAAGATAACACGAGCCGGCGACAAAAGATATTTAATCTTCTTTAATTCTACAACTTCTTCATATAAACAGTATGATGATGGTTTGTTATGCCACTTTGTAAACAATGACCAAACATCTCCATCAACAATAATTTGTTGTTTGCTATATGTTTCTGATATGAATCTTGCAATATCATTGTCATTTGGAACTAAATATGTATCATCTCGAAATTTGAATTTGAAGTAATCGTAACTTTTACAAGGAATTAGATCTTCATATAGTGGGTCTTGCTTCGAGGTTTAGTATCAAATTATGAAAAAAATGAAATAATTTTGGTAGAATAATTATTTACCAAAAAATGAAAATACTTTAGAAAGTTATACATTGTACGTATATATTTTAGGAATTATAAAATTGACTGACTTTGTCCCGACAAAATCTCCATTTCCTATAAAATTCACAGACTTCATCTTTACAAGCCGCTGGAATTAGATTATATAGATATGATTTTTAGTGTTAGATTGTATTGATGTTA